TAAATTAGGGAGTTTTTGGAGTCTCTGGGAACTTTAACTAGGCCCCTTCCGAAGGGCTCCTGAGCCACTCGTTCCCTCGAAGCCTTGGCCCCAGGAACCCTGGAAAGGAAACCCTAAGCAAAGCCCGAAAGCCCAATGTAAGGGCCTTAAGTAGAATAGGGTTTTGGGGGTTCCTTACGGTAAGTATAGTATAATATACCCAAGAAAACCATATTCTTGCTATTAAGGCCCCTATATTAAAAGCCCAAAAGTCACCAGCCCCACACCCTCAACGCCAAACTCGACCCGGAGAGCCCAAGGCGACCAAAACTTGACCCAATCCCAGAAAGCCCACTCCTGCCAATAATTAGGGTTTAGGGTTTAGGGTTTAGGGTTTACCGGTTTGGGTTAAGGGGTATGGGTTCTACCAAGACTGGAGCTTAGACCCAAACCTCGAAGGTTACATGGTCAGAGCTAAACCCTGGAACTGACCAAACTCTTTTGCAGGCTCGGGGCTTTTCACAAGGCCCACATCTGAAAGCCCCGAACCCTCAAGACCTAGCACCGCCATAAAACCCAAACCCGCGCCCGCACAAAGCCGTCAGCTAAAGCTCTGAGGCCTCAGACACCAAGCCTCAAGGACCCTCAATGTCCCAAACCCATCTTGGGCGCCAACGGCTCGGGCTGGTCGGGAATAAGTCGGTGCTTCGCCTGTGATTTTGATCTGGGGCCAGTGGGGCTTTCGACCTTCAGGGCAAGGGGGCTTAGGCTTAGGGTTTGGGCGTCAGGGTTCAAAGTTTAGGGTGTAGAGTGCAGGGTTTGGAGTCGTGAACATGTGGGGTTTGGGGTTTAACGGGCATAGAAACCCATGTATCCAAGAACTTGATTCCTAACTACCCAACCTTCCATCGCTAACCCAATCAATCCCGAAAAAGTGGACCGGTCCTCGATGTTGCTCACGGTGAACTTGTACGGAACACCTGCGCAAAGATGCCGGTGCTACGAGCTTGGCTTGGGAACTGGTTTTGGCATAGTATATCATGGTATAATCTAGCACATCACAGTTTATGTTAGTGTGTATATATATATACATAATGTAAAAGGTTATATATATATATATAATGTAAAAGGTTAGTATATCATGGGATTCGGGGTCGATGTTAGGTCGGGCTTGGAGGCTCGAGTCTTCGATTCTGCCATCCTGTAAAAGGCCCCGACAAAAAGTCACCGCGTTACAGTATCCCTTTCCCGCCTGAGTCCTTCTAGTACCCTATTATAGTGGCCCCTGTCGTATAGGAGCACGTTAAAAAAAGTCGCTCTTCTAGTCTATCGTGCAGCACCCTAAGAGTAGCCAGGAGCCCTTATAGTTGCCTTGACGGAATCCTAAACCCAGATGTAGGGGCCTTGATAATTAGAATAGGATTTCGGTGTATCTTCTACTCTATATAATCAGGAACCTCCAAAACAGTATAGGTGATTATTCGGGGCCCATTATACTATAATTATAATAAGGAACCCCCAAAATAGTATAGGTAATTGTTTAAGCCCCGAAATTAGATCCTTCAAGCCCACTGGCCTGAGCAATCGCAGATCGACGAGGCAGTCTCACATCCTCGGCAGCCGAAGCGAACCTGCAGATCAGAGGGTTTAGGGTTTAGGGTTTAGGGTTTAGGGTTTAGGGTAAAGAACTTTGAACGCAGATGGGTAGTTCCCTAAATGAGAGGCTGTCTTTGGGTCCATTTTATAAGGGTGCCGTACTTTTTTGAAAAACAGGGAGCCTCATTTAGAGGACTACCCACACATGCCCCAAAACTTCTGAAGGGTGCAGAGCTTGAGGTTTAGGCAGCCTCAGCAACGAGACACGGGACGGACAGTGGGGGATTAGCGATGTTTAGGGGGATAGGGGGGCTCAGGGTTTAGGGTTTAGGGTTTAGGTAGAAGGAGGTGTTCCCCCCACCCCCCTGTGCCTGGCTCCGGATCAGCGCTGGAATCCCGTCGTAGTTGAAGAAGACCTTACCGCCCCAAATGGGCATCTCGTCCCTGTCGTCTTGGGGCTTCTAGGGGCAGGCACTCTGAGCCTTAACAGCCCTAAACCCTAAACGCTAAACCCTAAACCCGAAAAGGGGACCCTAACTTAAACCTTAACATGCACCTGCCCTGAAACCGCGCCTTTGAAGACAACTTCGCAGCTACGAGTCTCAGGCTACGGCTTCTCAGGAACTGGAAGCACTTGCTTGAAGTACCAGAGGGTGCTGCCCGGTTTCAAAACATAGATTTACAGAGTTTGTATAGGGCTTCTTTCGGCGGCCCCACTTCTTGGATCATGGCTGGTTTAGGTTCGGCGGAACACGTGTGTGTGGTTCTTAGCCGTAGTTCCGATTACGGTATCTGCTACCTCTGGTGTGGGAGCACTGGGCTTCGCAGACCTTGCTCCAAGAACAGCAACATCGCGCACCCTGCAGGAACATTCCCCCAAGAATACCCAAAACCACGCCTTTGGGGGATTTAGGCGGTTTGGGGCCTATAGGGGCTTCTTTTAAAAGTGTAGTGACCTTTTCTCTGCGATCTGGCCTCTAGGGGTTTAGGGTTTTGGGCTCAAGGCTTGAAGTTTAGGGTTTCGGGTTTAGGGTTTAGGGTTTAGGGTTTAGGGGTTTAGGGTTTAGGGTTCAGGGTCCTCCAGCCAAGGTGCATCCTTGGTCTTGTAAGAAGTCTCCTGGTCGGCACTGAATCGAATCGAAAGCTGCTTGAAGTTTCATGAGCTGGGCGGTTTAGGGTTTAGGGTTTAGGGTTTAGGGTTTAGGGTTTAGGGGGTATGGTAAGCACCCAAAATCAAAAAGCTCGGCTCTCCAGAAGCAAAGTAAGTAGGTGTGCCTTTGCAAAACGCCAAAGCTCAGAAGCATAGGTTGTGAAGCCGTCCTAGCAAAAAGGAAAACCTAATGCCAGTACAGTCGTGATAGCCCCGACCGTGACCACCCGAAATAGAAGCAGGCTTTGAAGTGGCGTCTGCAGAGGCCTGCAGTCCTACAGTTTTATCGGGGGCTGTAGAACCCTTAAAGCCCTGAAAGCGAAACAGAAGCAGCCGAGCGTCGTAGTCCGGGAAGTGGTCCGCGGGCCCTCGCCAGATGCCCGGTTTCACCGCGCTGGCCTGGAAGAGCTGCACAAACTCCGCTTCGAAGGGCTTCGATGGGCTTCATGGGGACTGTACAAGGTTGCGGGTTTAGGGTTTAGGGTTTAGGGTTTAGGGTTCAGGGTTTAGGGTTTAGGGCTTAGGACTGTATATACAGGGTTGCGATAGGTGTTGGGGGCGCTTCATAGGGCTTGCTGAAGTTTCATGTCAGGCTTTATGAGAGCGGCGTAGGTTTCTACAACGTGTTCTGTGCGAAGTCTCTGTTGGCTGTTGGGGTGTTCGGTTCGGCGTTTAAACTGTCTGATCAATCAAGACGTCATGTCAAGCAATACAGGCACCTGACTACGAACAGCATGACTTTCAGTCTAACAGGCTCATTGTCAGAACCCCGATATACGGGTCAGGGTTAAAGGCTGCACCAGGATCCCAAACCCTGAACCCCTAAACCCCTAAACCCCTAGACCCTCAACCCTAAACCCTAAACCGCCCTGATGGGCGCTGCCAGCCTGCGCCCACACGGATTCATCGAACTTTTCGTGCTCGGAGCCTCCCCAAATACCCGTGGTAAGAGGGGCCTTAAGATTTAGAATAGGCTAGGGTTCCTTGAAAGGGTTTTGAAAGGGGTCTATAAGGGTTAGTATAAGGGCTACTATAATGGTTTAGGGTGTAGGGGCTTTAAGAATTAGAATAAGGTTTTTAGGGTATATGATATGGTATATCATACTGTATCATCATGATATGGAACCCCGATATAGGATTGGTAATTATTTAGGACACAATATTATCTAATGTAAGTTCTCAGGGTTCCGAGCAGATGAACTGCTTGTTTTGAAGAGCCTTGGACGGGGGTCTTGCCGAGGTGAACAAGAGTTCCACAATTCCCGGTCAGCCCCAAAGTGCGGGCAAGAAGCATTGGTAGATCGTCTTGTTCGTGTGGCACGAATCCAGCCTCGGTGTCTCCAGGTCGAGGCAGAACATCAGGGACTGAAAGGGGGACCTATTCAAAGAGAGGACAGTGAAAGATTACAGTAACTAGAGTAATCGAAACTGTCAGCCTCGTGGCGGCAGTGGCAAGAGCAGCAGTAGTAGCAGCGGTTGCAGCAGCAATCGTAGCTACAGAATCGATAGTAAGAAGCAGTGGTCAGGAGGACGAGCGGCAGAAGGAGGAGGAGGAGCAGCAGCAGCAGCCCGTCGCCGCCGTCGAGGCTTAAGAGCTCTTTCATAAACAAAACCTAACCCCATGAAGCCCCAAAATCCCAAAACCCTAAACCCTAAACCCATGAAGCCAAAAAATCCCGAAACCCTAAACCTAAACCCTAAACCCATGAAGCCCCAAAAATCCCGGAACCCTAAACCTAAACCCTAAACCCATGAAGCCCCAAAATCTCAGAACCCTAAACCTAAACCCTAAACCCATGAAGCCCCAAAATCTCAGAAGCTTCAGGCCGGTACGGTTCTGCTCTAAAGCCCAGCGCCCCCGTCACGTGCAGCCAGGGCTCCAGTTCATGTTGCCGCCTCGGCCCATGAGGCGAGGGTCGAGGTTCTCACTTTAGGCTTCAGTGTTTCCGATAAAAGTCTTGTTGTTAAGGGTTTAGGGTTTAGGAGCGTTTTGGTCCGAGCCTACTCGTGGCAACGCCGTTGCCCTCCCTGGGGAGGGTGCTGATCGGGCCATGGTTTCTTCGGATTTCGGTACACGGCTGATTCAACAAGGGGAATGGAGACGTCTTTCTGCTTTGGCTGCTGAGTTGGATCCTTCGCTGGATGGGGCACTTCGGAATTTCCTTGTTCGTCCTTTTGGAATGGCGGTTTCTACTGAAGCCGGTTTGCTCTCCAGAGCATGGGTCCTCAAGGCCGATGGAGCATCTTCGGGTCGCAAGGTCCTTCTAAAGCTGAGGCATGCTGATTGGCTCGCCCTCGAGGACAGCACCGGTGTCTTTAAGGTCTTACAATCCCATGTACATGCCTCTCAGGATGAATTCATGCTGGACTGCACACATGCCCCAACGGTGGTCGTTTGCACCGCTGCCTTGGAGTTGGGTTCTTCGATCTGTGTCGCTGAGCTGTTCAGCGGAGGCTTTTCAGGATGGTCCCAGGCGGCTTATGTACTACACCGCAGTGGCACGCCTGTCCATACTTCCTGGACACTGGATGTTGATCCTGACTGCGAAGACATGCTTCGTCTGCAGACCCCAGGGTTGCACTGTATTTGGCATGGTGCTGAATTGGATGACATGCTTGCTGACACACCAGCTTCGGTTCATGTTTGCGCCAATGTTCAGAGTGATTGGTGGCTGCGCATTTTTGCCATCCGCCCAGTGCATATCGCGGCGATCTCGCCCCCCTGCCAGCCTTGGAGCGCTGCTGGGTCAGGGGCTGGCCTTGCATCGGATGACGGCTTGCTTATGCTGCGCGCTGCTGACATACTTGGTGCTGTACAGGTGCCGGTCGTCGTGTTGGAACAGGTCGCAGGCTTCTTGAGGCACCCGCATGCCGACACTGTGCTCTCTGCTTTTTCCATTGTCGGCTACTCCATTGTTTGGCAGGCTACTATTGACCTTCTTGATGTGCTGCCCTGCTCCAGGAACAGGACATTGATTGTCTTCAGACATGAATCCTGCAAAGGTCCACCCGCACTTACCGGCCTCCTCTGGGCCTGTTCGCGGCGGCACAATCTTGCGACTGCGCAGTCACTGTTTGACTTGCCTTGTAGCCTCCTGCAACCCCTGGTTCTTTCTGATGAACTAATAGCCACTTACATGGACCCGTGGTTTATGCCTCCGTCCAGGACCGGCCACGCATCGCAAAGCAGGACTGAGGCTTTCAGGGTGCGCACAGCGGCATCCACTGCGGGCTGCTTTATGGCCCAGTACCAATTCCAACACGAATTGCCTGCTTCTCAACTAGAGTCTAGGGGCCTCCTCGGATTCGTTCTACGCCACCAAGGTGTTCTGAGATTCTTTTCTGGAGCCGAGGTTGCCGCATTGCATGGGGCTGTCCGGCCTATCTTGCTTCAGGAGGATCGCAGATGCCAAATGCGCATGCTTGGTAATAGCCTATCAGTGCCCCAGGCCGCGGCTGGACTGGCTTATGCCTGCCATGCATTGGGGTGCAAGCATTCACCTGAGCCCGCAGAGGCTGTTGCACGTTGCCTCTCTGCCCGAGTCCATAATGCCAATGCCTTCTTCCTCCCCAGAGGCCAGGACTGGATCCTCTGTCGCAAAGACCAGGTCTTTGAGCTCCTTGCGTCTGGCGCCATTAAGCCCCTGCCTACCCCCAGCCAGCCAGCTCCTGTTGATTTTGTGCCAGTCACTTTTCAGAGCAGGCAGACAGATGTTACGGTCTACGCGCCTTCTGGGGCCCCGGCACTCAGAGTGTTTTCACACCTTGGCGTTGCGCACCTTGCACCTACACTACCAGCTGCTGCACATGACCGCCTCCACGCCTTACGGCTTAGTGTTGAGTTGCCCCCTAGCTTGGATTGCGCCGGCTTTGTGGGTGGCTGTGCTGACAAGACCGGATTGTGCACTGTGCTGGTCGCCAATGGGGTCTTCATTGTTGACACGTGGTCCCCGCGCATGTGGACCCAGCTTCTCAATGTGTTTGACTTCCTCACGCCTGAGGCAGAGGACCTGTGTTGCTGGAGCCCATCTGGGCACAGACTGCAACTTGCCGATGATTTCGAGGGCTGTGTTGTGGCGAACACATCGCCTCCTGAGGCTGCGCGTCTCCCTCTCAGCCTGCTTGCCGCATCTGTTCCCGCCCTGCAGGCCACATTTCAGGCTCACGAGGCCCAACTTGCGTGCCCTGCTGTTTCAGCTATTGACTTGTGGCTGGGCTTCCCGTTCCATCTTGTGCTCGCTTATGGCTGGGATGCACAGGTCGAGAACTTCCCGCCGGCCCATGGCGCCTCTATGTTCATTCGGATGCAGCCTCTGACCGGTCGAGTGCATATGCAGCCACCCGCCCTGCCTCGCCAGTTGCGTGCCTGGTTTCTTGTGGCTCGTCTTGATGCTGCCTCCGTCTCTGCTACTGCAGAAGGCTCTATGCAGGTTGAGGTGCAGGTTGAAGCCCAGCGTATTTGGTGGGGTTATCTCCCTGCTCTTCTGAGGGTTGCGCAGTTCGATCTTTGGTGGCGTGAGGCCTCTCAGGTCTGCCAGCTCCCACCAGATGCGCGGGTTTTCTCGGGGCCTTTTCCCGTCTCGGCTGAGGATTCCCTGCTTGCCGTACACTCCCGGCGTGGCCAAAGAGTTCTTCGAAAAAACGGCCACCTTCTCATCACTCTGCAGCCCTCTGTTGTTGGTGGCGGTGTCAAAGATGAGCAAAAGCATTGGGCCCAGACTCGAGCGGCCTCCGTCTGCCTGGCCCAAGGCCTGGATCTTCGCACCACCACGGCTTTCATCGATGAAGTTTCCACCGAGGGCTCTACTGCCCGCCTCAGCCAAGCCATTAAGGCCACCAGCGAGGATGCCAAGTGGGCCCAGCTTACGGCCTATGCCAAAGACCTTGGGGTCCCAGTGCCGCAAACCACCAGCCTCTTCCAGAGAGCCGATCAGCGTGCTAAGCGCCAGTTCCAGAAGCGACGCTCCCAGGCCGGCGATCAACTCAGGGCCTCCTCTGTGCAGGTTCAAACCGGATTCTTTGTTAACGACGATGGATCCCAGACCCAGATCCTTGACAGCATCCGTCCCGGGGCCACTGGGTTGCTTTTGGTTGATGGTGACCAAGCTGGCGACGCTCTTGCTACGCTTCAGGGCGTCCAACCAGACGAGCTCGGCATTCTTGTGCTGGGCCACACCTGTCCCAACCCTGACAGCTGCTCCCGTCGTGTGTCCTTCCCTGCAACAGGTCGGGCGTGTGGCTCACAACTTCTCCTTGCAGGCTGCCTTCACAATGTAGGTGGCAAGGCTATCCGCCCTTCCCAGCAGACAGACATCACTGTCGCTCTGCCTGACATCCTGTGCTGCACATTTACGGCCTTTTCTGATGAGTTCCCTGCGGGCCAGTGGGAACAGATTGTACAGGCACCTGTTAAGCAGATCTTGTCTGTCTTTCAGGACATTGCCGCTGCCAAGACCATTGCCACGCCATGGGGCCGCCAGTTCAGGTGCAAAGGTAAGGTTGCCAGTCCTGCGGCTGCTGATCAGGTTAGCTTTCAGGCCAGGGTTCCCAAGAGTGAGGCTGAAGCCCTCTTGATTGCCAGTGGGCACAACTGTGTCTACATCACGCCACGGACGCTCGACAGCAGTTTGCTCCCTGGTTACTCCATCATTTGGATAGGTGGTCAGCGCCAGGACGCTGTCAAGGCATCCCTTCAAATCCCCGAGCAGCGCGGCCTTGTGCGTTCCAAAGACCGCTTTGGGTTAAGGGTGCCTGAGGCTCGTTATGAGGCTGCATACGGCCTGATCCGACCTGGCCAAACCGCGCCCAACCGTGTCGCTGTTCAGTACTTGTTCCGAGTTGGACCCGTGCCTGCCGGTGCTGATGCCACAGCGGTCTCTACCTGGGCTGCCAAATTCAACTGGAGCATTAAGATCATCCGCGCTTCTGGCCCGAGCCATTGGCTTGTTGGTGCTGCCCAGCAACCTCCCTCTGCGTGGCCGTTGTTTAACAGCCAGACAGTCCTCATCAACCCGGTCCACCAGCGTGAGGTTCGTCAATCTGTGGTGCAGTCTGGCAGCCTGAGCACCAAGGCACAAGCGACGCCGCCAGCAGCCGCCAAAGAGCCTCGAGCAGCCGAGGACCCCTGGTTGTTCAGTGATCCGTGGAGCGCCTCTCGTTCTTCTGTGTCTTCTCTTGGCAGCCGAGAGTCCGGGTCCCGCTTCCCGGCCCCAGCACCTGCTCCTGTCAATCGTGTAGTTGCAGGTCCCACGGAGCAGCGCTTCCAGCAACAGGAAACACGCATCCATGCCCTAGAGGAAGGCATACAGGCGCTCAAGATTCTGCAGGAGCAGAACCACGGCCAGCTTGTGCAGCAGCAGGCCACTGACCGCCAGAATGCCGCCCAGGCTACCGCTGGACTTCAGGAGCAGCTTAGCTCCGTCGGCACCGAGCTCACTCGTCAGCTGCAAGCCTCCGCCGAAGCCCTCCAAAATGCACAGACGCAGCAGCAGAAGCAGATGCAGTGCAGCCTTGATGAGCTCAAAAGCCTTTTCCTCGAGAGTCGCGAACACCGGGCTGCAGCCAAAAAGCCGAAAATCGATCCTAAGGAAGACGAGCTTTGACTGCTTCGGCCCGTCATCTGCCGCCCTCGGCCATTTTGGCTTTTTCCGGGCCTTTTGTCTACTTTGTGCCTGTCGCCGCTGGGAGTGCAACAGGCCTGGGGTGAAGTGCTCCACCAATGCGTGGACGTTGACTCTCTGAGTGCTGCCGGGGTTGTGGCGCTTTCAAAGTTCAGTTTTTTGCTCGGCGCAGGGGTGCGCGCCTCTCCGTTCCGATCCCCAGCTGTGCATCCGTTCCAGTTTGATGATACTTATACAGTGCTTTTTCCCTGCGGCTACAGTGCTTCTTATTTGGGCCAGTTTGACTGCCTTCGCGGCTGCCGCATTGGCGAGGCCCAGAACCCTGGCCCGTTCCGTCAAACCGACATTCGCCAATTTCGTTCCGCCTCTGCTGGCACACCTGAACTGCTTGTGCGGACGTCTGAGAACCCACCTGCTCTCACAGCGAGTTCTCCTGGGTCGGTTCCCCAGGCCCCTCCGCAATCTGGTGCCTCGGCTGATTCTCCCCCGTCTTCCACGGCTGCTGCTACGCCTGCCTCTTTCCCGTTGCGGCTTGCAGTCATCAATCCCACCTCCCTGCTTCACAAGGACCGGGAAATCCTTGATCTTGGCCAGGATGTTATACTTGCCTCAGAGACTTCGGCGGTTGAGGCAGTGCAGCGCATTGTTGCGCACAAACTCCGTCCTGCCGGCTTCACCACACTTTGGAGTGCTCCTGTGTCCCCCCACCAGGGACAGCGTGAAAACCAATCCACTCTCCGTGGACATGCTGCGGGCGTTGCCCTGATTTCGCGCTTACCGGCCCGCAAATCCTTTGTACCTTTGGAGCCACAGGTTGCGCAGGCCTCCCGACTCCTTGAGAGTCATCTCCGTATTGGCCAGTTTGAACTCAGAGTCTTCGTGGTCTACGGTTACCCGGCCAACTACCAGGATGCCGGTGGCCGTAATGCTGCTCTCCTGCTGGAGGTCCTCCGCCGTCTGATTGCCTGCCCCGTCCCTGCCATCATTGGCGGAGACTTCAATACTGATATCACTCAGCTCCCTGAGTTCGGCATGTTTCAGCAGCTTGGCTTTGTTGAAGCTTTCCAATATTGGCAAGCCCGCACTGGACAGGAGCTGCCACCCACTTGCAAGCAGGCCACGCGCCATGATACCTTGCTGCTTCCGGGGTCGCTGCTACAGTATGTCCAGGACCTACGAGTCGCCACTGACCTGCATTTCTTTGACTCACATGCCCCGTTTATGGCTGAGTTCCTTCTGCCCGAGCGGCCACCGTGTCTGCAGACCTGGCGCATGCCAGCTTCCTGGATGTCATTTCTCCCACAGGGCACCGACTTGACCCCTTTCTATGCTCGCTATCAATGCCAGGTTCAGGCTGCCATTCAGGCCTGCCGCACCACGGATGAGCTGGATGCAGCCTTTCAAACGTGGGCCTCCGCCGTTGAGGCTGCTGTTGATACTGCTGTCAGGGCTGCCCACACTGATTCGCCGGATCTCTGCCCTGCTAAGGCTTTGCCCAAGCTCGCCAAGGGACGTTGCGCTTATCGTCCACTCCGCAAGCGCCCCTTCCCACGCTCCGCGCCGCAAGGACGCTGTGGAGACTACTCACCCTCCTGTGAGGCCGTCACTGTTGTTGCAAGGGCTAAGGTCAGGCAGGTTCGGCGCCTTTCCACCTTTGTGCAGGGCCTGACCAAGGCCGCGGGGTATGATGTCCCTCCTCCCACGGTGCATGCGCAGCTAAGCCAGGAATGGGCTGCCATAACCAGAGGGCGTGGTTACGCTCCCAACTTTGCCACCTGGCTCCTGCGGTGTTCACACTTTGCCACCTACTGGTCTTCCTTGCCTCCTCTTGAGTGGGCCCGGGACGTGCTCCAGTATGTCAAGTTCGATGCTGAAGCCCACGTCCGCTGTGAGGCGGACCATCGGCAGAAACTTGCCCGTTTTCAGGTTCACCAGGACAGCACATCAGGCTGCTCCCGCCTTGGCTTTCGTTCAATGCGGCCTCAGCCTCGCCCGCCCTTTCTCTGCATTCCCTATGAAGAGAATCAGGCCGCCCAGCTTGTCTGTGCAGAGTCTAATGACACTGGCCTCTACTTTGTGCCCATGCCGCGCTTTGTCAGAATTGGTCAGGCCGCCAGCCTTGACGATACGCCAGTCTGGGTCGAGTCTATTGTTGAAACCGATGCCAACGGCCCCCTCCTCCGACTTCACAGCTCCCATCTGCCGCTGCCTTCCGCGGCTCGTTTTGCTCAAACCAGTGCCGCATGCACAGCTGATGAGCTTAATAGGGTGTTTGTTGAGTTCTGGGCTCCTATCTGGTGCCGGGACAAAGGTGCCGCCAGAACTGACCTCTCTCACTGGTCCATTTTCCTGCAAAACCTGCCACCTGCGCCCCCCTCGGCCCAAGCCTTGTCTGTGAACATGCAGGACGCTGACCTGTGGGCCCAGCAAATCCGCCGCCTCAAGAATGGCCGTGCCACCGGCTATTGCGGCTTCAGCCCGGCCGAACTCAAGACTTTGCCTGCGGCGGCGGTCCAACACCTCGCCCATCTGTTTGCCCGCTGCGAGGACTGTGGATTCCCTCGGCATCTGGCCCAAGCTACTGTGCACATACTTGCCAAAGTTGATGAGCCCCAGCACATTGGTCAGGGACGGCCCATCACTGTGTATGCCACCATCTACCGCCTGTGGTCCAGCATTGCAGCCAGGTCCATACTCAGGCAATGGGCCACCTGGCTTCCCGAATCTGTGCGGGGATGCGTGCCAGGCAGGGGCGCCCGTGAAGTCTCGCTCGTCATACAAGTTATGATTGAGGAAGCCCTTATGTCGGGTAGGGCTCTCGGCGGCTTCTCTCTTGACATCATCAAGTGCTTCAATCAACTCCCTCGTATGCCGCTGCGCCACCTGCTGTTGCACCTTCATGTGCCACCGCACATAGTCGAGATATGGTTTCAGTTTCTTGACTGTAATACGAGATTTGCCCTTTTCCATGGCGAGCTTGGCAGTCCTGTTGCCAGCACCACGGGAGCACCGGAAGGGGACCCATTGTCGGTCGTCGGCCAAATTGCTATTTGCTGGGCCCTGGTTGCCAGCACTAGCCAGCCGAACACTTGGCCCTGGGTTTATGTCGATAACCTTACATGGCTTGCGTCCGAGACGTCCTTGCTCAGTAGCATGCTTCGTAGAGCCACTGACTTCTGCGACAGCCTCCGCCTTCCCGTTGACTGGAAAAAGTCATTCGCTTGGGGCACCTCAAGGGAAATCCGTTCCTTCTGGTCCAAAGCGCTGTTGCCGGGGTGCCCCGCTGACTGCCGTCTCCAACTTGTTTCAGAGGCTAAGGATCTTGGGGTTGCCTTCCGATTTGATCGCTTAGGAGGGTTGGGCAAAGCCGCCTCTCGCATCGCCGAGGGCCTCCAGCGCCTGAAGCGGCTACAGCGTCAACACCGACCCCTCCATAATGCTGCCCACCTTGTTCAAACAGGTATCTGGCCGGCGGCCTTCTACGGGCTCGAAGGCCATCATGTCCCAGAGGCTAAGGTTGACCAATTGCGCTCGGGTGCAGCTAGGGCTATCTGTGGGGAGAACCATAGCATGTCGCCCCACCTAGCGCTGAGCTGCCTCAATGCAGCCATCTTGGACCCAGCTGTTTACCTTCTGGTTCAAGCACTTTGTGCGCTTCGTGGCCTCCTGCGTGCAATCCCCGAATTTGGGCAGAAATGGCTGCGGTTTGCTTCTGACCCCCTCCTTGAACCCCGCCGTGTCATTGGCCCTGCTACGGCCCTCGCCAAACAACTCCGTGCACAGGGCTGGGTGCTTAAGACAAATGGGGTCTTGAAGGGCGCTGGGCACTGGCACCTTTGCCTTTTCACCAGCACACCGCGACAGATTCGTAAAGCTTGCCAAGCCGCTTGGATTGAGGCCCTGCCGGACCGCATTGGCCACCGAAATGGGCTGCAGAGCACTGCTTGCCCCTGCCCTCGCATCATGAGCCGAGTTCTTCATAAGTTCCCGCATGGCGCCCAGCTGCATCTTGCGCGTAGTGTTGTCGGCGGTTTCCTTTCCCGGGCTGCCCGTGCTTCCTTCGACCCGCTTGTTGAGAAAGCCTGCCCTTACTGTGGTGACGCTGATACCAAGGCCCACCGCCTGCTCCAGTGTCCGGCCACACAGTCTGTGCGGCAGCCGTTCCAGGCTCTTCTTAATTGGATTGGTGACAACAACCCCCACTGGATTCATGCCCCCTTCCCGGTCGCACATCCTGATGAGGGTTTCCTCAGATTGCTTTGGGGCAGTCGGATTCTGCCATCACCGCCTTGCGTGCGTCCACTGCTCGACCGTCAAGGTGCTCGTGTGCATGACTTCTTCACAGACGGTTCTTGTATACACCCCACGTGCCCTTCTGCCCGGCATGCGGCGTGGAGTGTTGTAATGCACCAACCGTGCAACAGTGTACCTGATTTGCGCCTCTTGCTCGATGAGCCCAAGCTCCTACCGGCAGTGTTTCCCGTTGTTGCCCAGGGGCTCCTTCCAGGTGAGCAGACCATTTACAGGGCCGAAGTTGCGGCATTAGTGCAGACTGCAATCATTGCCACAGACCATCCCGAGCATGTTTTTCACGTGTGGGCTGATTCCAGCAGCGCGCTGCGGACACTTCAGGCATGGCTTGACTGTTCTCCCGAGGAGGCACCTCCGCCATCGCCCGCCGGCGACATTCTTGCTCTGCTGCCTGCTCGGCGCCCGTGTAACCTTGCCTTGCACAAGGTTAAGTCCCACCAGAATTTGAGGGAAGCACCGCCTACTGAGTTGCTTTATGCTCTCGGCAACCATGTGGCCGACACCGCTGCCAAAGCTGCTGAGAAAGACGACTTGCCAGGTCTCCGTAACCAACTCGACAGTGTTGCTCAATGGTGCGGCGAGCAAGAGGAGAACTTGTTTGCCTTCTTCCAATATCTGCTTGAGGTTACCAAGGCTGTCGCCAACCTTCGCAGCGGCCTCGACCAGCAGGTTGCTGACAACTCCTGGGCTGAGGCTGACGAGGCCGGCCGTCTACAGCAGTGGTGTGCCTTAAATGGCCCGGAACAACGGTACTTTCTCCCGCCCGCAGGGCCTGCTGATCCCACGAGAGCAATTCAACAGCAAACAGCTTGGCCGCCTCAGTTCCTGCACTGCCTCTACTCCTGGAGCCAGCAGCTGCGTTGGCCCGCCGCTGATGCCACTTTCACTCCGCATAAACTTGCAGGGATCACCTTCCTCGAGCTCCTGACGAACTTTGTGGTGTGTACAGGCCGGCTGCCACCTGTGCAGCTGAAGAGTGGAACGGCGTTGCAATGGATTGAGCTGACTGATGCTACTGGCATTCTACATCCTGTTGTACTTCGTGACGTGCTGCTGGGATTCCTTGCTGCTGTCCGATGCTTGGATAAGGCGCTTGGCGTGCGCTGTTGGCCTAGTCAACGACACCACAGACTTCACTGCTTGCGTCTCTTTGGACACCGTGATGGCCGCAAGGGGCTACTGCTGCGCCCATTGCTCCCGCAGGCTTTGTCTACTGGTGATCTCGTTGCCAAAATTGCTACAAGCTGCTGTGGTGAAGTTCTTAGGGATTTCGCGCTTAAATGGCGCCCGCCGTCCTAATACGGGACCGGCTCTCGGACTCATGCTGTGGGATCGCTCGGAGGCACAGCGTCGCCATCTTCAGGCTGGCCTGTGTCCTCCTCTCCAAACCCGTTAAAGGTTTAGGGTTTAGGGTTTAGGGTTTCCGATAAAGGTCTTGTTTTAAGGGATTAGGGTTTAGGGTTTAGGGTTTCCGATAAAAGTCTAGCGACAAGGGTTTCAGGTTTGGGGCTTCTGTGGAGCTAAAAGGCTATCAATCCTACACCCGAAAACTCTGCATGGAACTCTATAGCCCTTGCTAGCCTTCTTCTGAGGTACCGATGTCGCGTGATTTCTACTAGGTAGCCCCCGTCACCCTGCTCCGACGGCTTGAAGATAGAAGCAACAAGGTAAGATAGAAGCCTTGGGAGCTAAAGGGTTTTGAAGGGTATCTTCTACTGCCACTTGTCTCCGGGGACCACAAGGGAATTCTGCTACTGATCCTGAAGGCCCACCCTAAACCCTAAACCCTAAACCCTAAACCCTAAACCCTAAACCCCAAAGAGGGACGAAAAGTTCCCGAGAGCCCGGCTGGGGTCGGCCCAGAGCGCCAGAACCATCACCATGCCACGACGGATGGCCTGCAGGTTTAGGGTTTAGGGTTTAGGGTTTAGGGTTTAGGGTTCCGGTTTGGGGCTGTAGGGCTCAGGAACTCTACCTAGACCCCAAAGAACCTACCACTTTTAAGGACTTATACAATACAAGGAAATCATAAATATAAGGAACCCCCTAAGAAAAGGGAGGTTCTGAAGGAAGGGTCCAGGAACTATAAGGACATATATATATATATAATATAAGGAGATCATTAATATCAGGAACCCTAAAAAAGGGAGGTTCTTAAGATTCCAGGAACTGTAAGGCTTAGCGTTTCGGATTTCGGCCTTCGGATCTGGGGCTCGAGATTTGTTTCATGTACGTCCCCGCAGGATCTGGGGAGCGGTCTTCCGCTGGGCCTTTGAGGGGTTTAGGGTTTAGGGTTTAGGGTTTAGGGTTTAGGGTTTAGGGTTTAGGGATTAGGGTTTAGGGTTTAGGGATTAGGGTTTATATAGGGGGTTTAGAGCTTACGGGGTTTGGGTAGGCTTGGGCTTTGGGGGAAAAGGGTGCTAAGCCCCTAAGGGTCAAAAAAACAACTGCCTCAACACCCTCGTAACCCATGATGAACACCTCCCACCCGACAGGCCTTCTCAGTCTTAAGCCCCATCGTACAAGATGCATATTTAACCAGAACCTAAAGGCGGAAGACGGATTTTTGGACGTGCGGCTTAGGGTTTAGGGTTCAGATAGCAGTCTAGGTTTCGCCTATACATCTTGAGGCTTGCATGGTGAATCACGCCTTAATAACTGAACACATAAACCCAAGTCCGCACAATCCTTAGACTTAGATCTCCAAACCTTAAAGTACGTCTCCCAAAATCGCACCGACCCCTAACAGACACCCCAAAAACACGAAAACACTAAACCCTGAGATCAAATACCCTACAGAGACAAAGGTCTCAGGCCTCGCCCATCTGCGCGAGGCCACCTCACAGCATCTCCGATGATTCGGGGAGGGTTTGCGGTCTTAGGGTTTCAGTGTTTAAAGTTGAAATCCTCGGCGGTTGTGTTCAGAGGGTGAAGTCGGACTTCGGGGGACGAGCGTTCAGAATTGGCCCTCGACCCGGAACCAGAAGGGGGTTTTCAAGATTGAAATCAAGAGCTCTGGTTTCGAGGGTGCGTTTGAGCGGTTGCTCTTGTTGTGAGTGAATCTGTGTCTGTTTGTGTGTGTGTGTGTGTATGTACGTACGTAGGGTTGGGCTTGGTGTGAGGGAGGGAGGTAGGTAGGGAGGCAGGCAGATAGATAGGTGTGTGCATGGAATGCACATTTTCCGAAATATCCACGAAGCAAGATTCCCCGAAGTGTCGCCACGAGACGATCATGACAAGGATGCTTTGGACTACTGTCGTCATTACCCCCAAAACCTATAACCTGAGTGCCGCGAAGCTGCCGTAGACCGTTGCGAATTCATCCTCCGGCCTGCTCCGGCTCATCAGCACAAGAGCGAACAAAAAACCAAACCCTCAAAACCTCCAAAAGCCCACTGCCACCAAATCCCTGAACCGATTTTCCCCCAAACAGAGCAGAATGCGGTAGACCTGAAGCCCCAAAAACCTTGAACCGCTGAGGTTTTGGCTTTCTGTGGGATCTATTGCTATTCCACACTTGCGATTTGCGACAAATGAAACATGAACCTGACTGATTTAGGCCCTTGGAGCGTTGGTCCAGCCTAAAGCCCTCGCTCTTCGCTGCTTTGAAGCGGTCGGCGAAGGAGAGTCTGCCCTTCTGCTCCTTGCTAAGGGTCGGTTTAGGGCTTAGGGTTTAGGGTTTGGGGTTTAGGGTCTACATGAATGAATAGCAGGCTATGTGTATCAAGAAAGACAAATGAACGCTTGTGTATGATCGGTACCAAGATACACACATCGATACTTAGATACATAAGTACATAGATACATGGACACGTAGATACATAAGTACATAGGCACATGCATACATACATACATACATACATACATACATACATACATGCATGCGTACGTACATGCATGCATGAATGCATAAACTGTAAACTCCTGCCAACCCTGCATACCTGCCTACCTACATACTTACCTACCTACCTATGCAGGCAGGTACGAGCTTGCACAAAAAGCTGCTTTCTGTTGCTCTTCGTTCGCCTTCGCATTAACCTATATATCGCTATATGCTGATATGTACTTGTGTATGCAAGTGAAAGGACTTCGCATGTTGGCTGCAGGCTTAACGCTTATGGCGTCTGTGATGTCGAGTGGTTGCCTGGCTGTGTATGCCAGATTCTCACTGTTTTTTCACGGAGATTGGCGAAGTCTTGTTGGGAGTGATTCTCAACCTCCCGCGCACTTTCGGAGAATTCTGTGTAAGTCCCAACCGTTCAGCCCGACAAAGCACGTGGTTTAAGTTCCGACTCATCTGCTGAGTCACTCCGTTCTGGCTGAAGATCTGGACGATGTCCTCAGCTCGCTCCGGGGTTTCGTTTCTTTGAGCCTTCAGAGTGTAGGCTGTGGAGTCTATAGGGTGAAAGGTTTGCGGCTTTCGGCTGCAGAGTTTAGCGCTGCCACTCTGGGGATCGTGCTAGCGACACTGCACGTTGTGCGAACTCCCGGCATCTTCCGACTGAATCTTCCAAGCGTCCACCAGGGTACCGTTTGGATGCCCGTTGTCCGTAATGAAGCTCGTGTTGATCTGCGTCCGGCTTGCGAGGGTCCGACACAAGGCAGCTCCAGGGCTAGGAGCTTCCAAGCTAAAACTCAGTCCTACAGCAGGGTTTAGGTTTTAGGCTTTTGGGTTGGGGGTTTGGGGTTTCGGGTTTCGGGTTTCGGGTTTTCCTTAAGAACCCAAAACCCACTTTTTTGTAGGTTCTTATTATAAACCCTATTTGGGGATTTATAGGGACCCTACAAAAAAGTAGGTTCCCAGGCCCCAAAAAGGATCTGAAAAATAGATCCCCTAACTAGGGACCCTAACTACTAAAGGGTACTTTATAGCAACCCCCTTAGGGGATCTATTTTTTTAGATCCTTTTGGGGGTCTGGTTTTGGGTTCTTAAGGTTGGGGTTTTGGGGGCAACAGGGTCCCTATCTGTTCGGGCTTTCATCCCTTGGAGCCCACAGGGCCTCGACCTTGGAGGCTCGCAACCGCAGCATTGATGCAGGCTTGGGGCCCCTTCTGAGCTCTTTAGGGTTTAGGGTTTAGGGTTTAAGGTTTAGGTTTAGGGCCTTTAGGGGTTTAGGGTTTGCGGGATGGCTGTAACTGTAAACTTCACAACAAAACTCAACCGAAATCCCGAAAACCTCAAAAGCCGAAACCCTGAATTCAACCCCAAACCCTCAAGCCGAAAACCCCAAACCCAAAACCGTCAACTGCTCACCCTAACCCCCCAAAGCATCGAGAAAGATGTAGGCCTTAAACGGAGCAGAGACATCGAGCATGTCGTAGAGCGCATGGCCGGGCCCTGCCGCTGTGTTTTCTGAGAGCCCAAGAACCCCCTTCCGCTAGGGTTCAGAGTTCCGGATTTAGGTCTGGGGCCGGATCTTCATTCTTTTTTTGCCGCGGGCCCTTTAGGGACTAGGGTCCACGGGCTTGCGGTTTCGGGTTTAGGGTTTTTTTGCTTTGAGTGGTCGGTCTCGCTAAGGGTGTAGTAGAGGCCACTGTCAGCTCTCACGAACTGGCGAGGAAACTTGTTGATGTTATTGTCATGCTTGTCACATCTTACTAGCTCTAAGGCATTGACCTGACGCTATCACTACAGCACTGCGACGGTGCCTACTAACTCGGACCACCCCGGCCTGATTCACGGAAGGTGTTAATGTCGGCCCCTGCTCTGTCGCAGGCGGCACCGCAGTCCTCAAGGCAGCGTGGCTGTGCTTCTGCTTCAGCTGCAGAGGTCGGGGATTGGAACTCGGAAACCCAAAAAAAACATCAAAAAGGACACCTTTCCTCCCCAACCTCTCAGTCTAGTTCCAGGATTCCGAAGTTCATGCGCTCCTTGCCCTCACCTTTCAGCCAAGAACCCCTGGTTGCAGTGCACTTAATACTTTGGTATTCCGAACCGATGCAGCCGGATAGAACCACGGTTGTCGCATTTCGTAAGACCAGCCACTACGCGTCGGTGATGACACCAAGCGGGCAGGAAATATGCTCGGAAAGAAGAACGGAATCTTCCCTAATTGGTGGCCCGAGCCCCGACCGGGTCCTGACCGAGACACCCCAAAACCTGAACACAGAAACCATGACCACGCTATTCTTCCGATTCCAGCCCTCGTTGCTCTCCTTCACCTCGGAGGAGTTGCAGACGGTCGCCTTTTGCCATGAGAGTTGGCTGATTTGCGACTTGAGGGCTGGGGCACCTGGAATTTAACAGGGAAAAGATCGTCGAGGTGTTGAGTGTCGTCGTGCGGTTGATCGTCGTTGTCGTCGTCGTCACCGTCGACGTCGATGTCGACTCCTCGCTGTCGCAGTCGCCGCCTGCGTCGTCGCATCGTCGTCGTAGTATCTGAAGAGGAGGAGGAGCAGCAGGACAAATCCAGTCTGCGAGACAACATTACATCATTACGGAGCCTTTCCTACAAAACAAGACTGCTGAGCATCTTCTTGCACTAAGCTTCGGAGCTATCGATGCAGCGCGGCAGCGACATCATCATGAGAGTCCAGCGGTACGAAAAGCAAGAACAGCTGCCACACTTTAGGGTCCAGGGTTTTCGGTTTAGGGTTTAGGGTGTCGGGTTTTGAGATGTTGGGTAGTGAACCCTAAACCCTAAACCCTAAACCCTAAACCGTCTGAGTTGTTCTTGACTAAGGGCCACTTTCCCACCTTCCAAAGGTTCCTCGGAAGGCCGACTGGGGGCGGGCCGTTACAGCCACATTGCAGGGTAACACTAACTGTGGTCTGCACACCAACCCCATCAGCCGAGATGAAAACGACTTACACCCACCTAGGGTGCTGGGCTTAGGGCCTTGGGCCCTAAACCCTAAACCCTAAACCCTAAGGTTTTGGGGCAGCGCCTTCGCCAGCTTGCAGGGATGCGCAGTGAAGGCTTGCACGAAGCGATTGCCTTCAAAGAGGTCCTTGGGCAGCTGCGGCTCTTCCGCAACAAGGAACTCTAGGGTTTAGGGTTTAGGGGGTTTAGGGTTTAGGGTTTAGGGGGTTTAGGGTTTAGGGTTTAGGGTTTAGGGGGTAAGGGTTTAGGGTTTAGGGTTTAGGGTTTAGGGGTTTTGGGTGAGATTTACATAGTCATCTCCAGGTTTAAGACAACCCCCAAGTTGGAACCATTTGGAACCTCTCTGTTTAAGAAAACCCCCAGGTAAGCACTGCAGGTTTGCTCGGCAGCCCTCAACCCCCAGAAGCCAAGCCTACTGTATGGGGGCCTTTATAATTAGACTCGGGTTTTGGGCCCCGTTATACTATAATTATAAGAAGGAACCCCCCAAATAATATAGGTAATTATTGAGGCCCCTGAAGCCTAAGCCTTATGCCGGAAGCTGAACCCTTGCTACTTAATGTACGGGCCTAAATAGTTTCCAATGCTATTCTTGGGGGTTGCTTATTATAACTATAGTGTATTGGGCCTTACCAATACTAATTTGAGGGTTGCTTATTATAATTATAGTATAATGGGCCTTACCAGCACTAACTTGGGGGGTTGCTTATTATAGTTATAGTATACAGGGCCCTGAAACCCTATTCTAATTATTTGGGGGTTGCTTATATAAATATATTATAATGGGCCCCGACACCCTACCGAAATTATGAAGGCCCCTATAGTAAGGCTTGTGCCATGAGCCCTGTCCTCCAAGAGGCTCAGAACCCGCAGTTTCTGGGGCCTCTTTGCCTTCGTTCCCCCCTGGAGGGCCTAATGTAGGGGCCTTAAAAATTAGGATAGGGTGTTGGGGTATATTATACTGTACTTTTAATAAGGAACCCCCAAAGTAGTATAGGTAATGATTAAGGCCCCTATATTAAACCCACTGGAGATTGAGAACAGGCTCCATCTCCGGACAGCAGGACGCGAGAACATGGTCCTTGTTGTAGCCTCCGAGATTACAGGAGCAGGCGGTACACACCCTAAGCCGTTAACCTGAAACCCGAAACCAACCTCAACCCCCTGCCCAAGCCAGTTTTGGGTGCTTCAGATCGGCTTTGAAGCCTGTATTTGCTGGGTTCTGGCTTCCAAGTCTTCAGCACATCAAGGTTTAGGTCTCAAAAATCTAGACAGGGCGTGGCAGCAGTTCCTGAGATAGTTTAATGATTAGTAGCAGTTTTCCCTGTTAGCCAGTATACAGTAGCAGATAATACCGTAGATCCGAAACCCAATGCCGATTCTCGCAGTTCGGAAACTGGCGGTTGAAGAACACCCAAGCCCAGAAGCTTCTGGCTGGTCCCCACAGAGGGCAGAAGACTGTGGGTCGGCAAAGCTTAGGGTTTCAAGTTCCGGGTGAAGAGTTCAGAAGTTCAGGGTTTTTTGGGGTGGACTAAAGTTTACGAGTTTCCCTCTTTGGGTTCAACGGCTTAGAGTTCAATTTTTGCATTCTAAGATTAATATAGAGACCTTAACTAGAATAAGGTTTTAGGGCCCATTATACTATATTTATATTAAGGAACCCCCAAAAAATAGCATAGGAATTTATTTTGGGCCCCTGTAGCAAAAGGGAAACGTTTAGGGTACTCCGAGTCCCTGAAGGGCTTCGGATCGGCTCAGGGCCTGGGCGGGCGCGAAGCCTCCATTCCCCGAGTCGGCTCCTTCATTTATTAGGAGAAAACAACATAGTATCCTTTCTTTATATATAAGTAGAATAGAACACAATACAACGTTGGACAAAAATCGAAACGAATATAACAGAATACTAAAATGTATGTCTGTATTTATGTGTGTGTATATAGCTATGTGAGTATACATATATATATATATATATCTCCAACCTTGGCCCGCCTGCCCCCTGGACGAAGCGCAGGTCCTTTGGACACTGCGCGTCACAGTAGCCAAGGCCTGCGGGCAGAAAGTCGGACGATTTAGGGCTTCATGGTGTAATAAAGACGTCTTAATAATTAGAATAGGGTCTTGGGGGTATGACCCTATTCTAATTAGTAAGGCCCCTAAATTAATGTGGTGTTTGTAGGTTTGCAGGAGTTCAGGGGTGTGCGGTTTAGGGCATGGTTTGATTTTTAGAGTTTAGGGTCGTAGGCTTTTGATATCCTTGTTGTAGGTACCGCCTCGTACGTTTGCCCACCATAAGTGGCGCACGGGGCTGTTCTACAACGTTATTTACGGTAGTTTCGCAAAGTGCGTGCAATGTAATTCCTGGATGAGAACTGCAGAATTCCGAATCCCGACATGAAGAAAACCCCATTCCTGCCGACAAAGTCTGAAGTTCAAAACTGTGCCTTTTTGCCTAACGTGCAGAGTCCCACCTGCAACCACTGCCGGTCGTTCCAAGCAGTCTTCGGAGGCAACACGTCCTGCACCGCTTTGCGGTATGCTGCGACGGCAGCAACGACAGGAGTCTCAACTGGCGTTTGACGGCACCGACGCGCGCCTCTGCACGCTGGTCTCCGCCTACAACTTTACACGTGCGGGCTTTGACCACCGCTCTATTCTTTCCCTTGAGGCCAGTGCTGCGCACAGCGCAGGCACAAGACGCCGACACGAGGGCCGGATTTTATGAGATGCGGTTGTAGAGACTGTCTCGGGTGGTAGGGGGCCTCCCCATTTGAACTTCTTTTGTGCACTCTGAAAGAAAGGCACCGAGACCTCATGCAGCTGATTCTCCTGGATCAACTGTTCTCGAACACACGCTGGCATGGCCGTGGTGCTGGACCTTTGTGTCGGCGAGCTCTCGGAGATGCCGTCCACAGAACTGTCACCCTCGGAGACGTCGGAGATTGTGTCCAGAGAACTCTCCCCCTCGGACACGCTAACCACGGAACTGTCACCCTGGGAGAGGCTGTGAAAGGAACTGTCGCACAGGGAACGCCAGGCTCGCTGCTGTTCTTTTGTCAAAGGCTCAAAGAATGTGTCGAAGTTTGAAGGCATTCGACACACCGGCGAAATCATCGGCTCGAATGCTGCTGGCATTCGAGACACCGGCGATCGGGAGCGGGCCATGGGCTTGCTATCCCCGTGTACACCACAGCAGCCACCCCAGTGACCAAGACCCGACCAAAAAGCCAGAAACCCCACAAAAACCCGGACGTAAGCCGAGGCCAGACAAAAAAGAGTAGAGGATTATCCGAAACTAGAAGCTATGCGTGGCAAGCCTAGTCTTGCAAAGGAGCATCGAACGATATCATATCAACAACATATTTCGTGAATGTATAGACAGGAATCGAATATCTGTTATGCGATGTCCTAAACAGAGCAAATTTGTTAATTTACATAGACAGT